TGCCCAAAATATGAGACGCATGCAGACAGTAAAGTAAACACACACACACACACACACACACACATACACACTCTCTCTCTCTCTCTCTCTCCCTCTCTCTCTGCAAGTCTATCTGCATCCACAATAAATTAAGCAACATAATTAATTAATTTTGATTCATAGAGAGAGGCCAGCAGGTCAATACTAAGATACTAAAACTATTTATTTACTAGCTAAAAGTTGTAGGGCCAGTGTGGCACTGCCAGGTCCAGCAAATCATGTCATCAGTCATTCAAGATATTTATGATCCCATCCCATCATCCCCAGCTTTTTACATCATTCATTTTTCTTTCTTTCTTTTTTTTCTCTTTTTCTCTGGGTACAATACAAATACAAATACAAATACAATCTTCTTCTCAAGCCACATCCACATGCATACATCATATCACATATCACATCACGCGTGACATACATACATAGATGACACAGTTGTCGAGGTACATTTACGTTTTACCTGCACACGCCAAATATACCGGCGTCCTCGAAGCCGCCTCCCCTCTCCACTTTTTGTCTTTCTCCATATCCATCCAGTTTCTCTATTCATGATCATGACTTTGCAATTGCTAGGCCGACCCTTGCTTCGTAGCCTCCTCTCTCCTCCCTCATCCTCCTATATTAATTTACCTTATAGTAATAATAATTATAGGACTTAAATTGATTGACACTTCAAAGTTACCGTTTTCATCCTCCTATATTAATTTACCTTATAGTAATAATAATTATAGGACTTAAATTGATTGACACTTCAAAGTCACCGTTTTCACTTTCTTGTATTTATTTGCTTTCGTTGCCATATAATATAAACTCAAATGCAAAAGAAAGAGAATAAGTTAATTTTGCTACTGTTACGCTGCTGCTACTACTGCAAGAATTTCAGAATTTAATAAGATTATATAATAATGATAAAGAAATGGTTGGTGTTTGCTCTCTCTCTATCTGTCTCTCTCTCCTCTGGACTTGCTTTTGCCGTATGCATCATTCCATTTGCGCAGGAATTCCATCATTCCTTTCTTCCTCTCTGTTCTTTTCCATCATTATCGTACTGTGCCCTCCTCCCTGCCAATACCATACAGTATTCTGCCAGTGCCCACACAGAACCATACACAAAATTTAAAATTTATTTTAAAGACTCTCTCTCTCTCTCTCTCTCTGTGTCGGACATGTTTACAACCCCACCTCTGCTAGACTGCAATTACATTTGCTAGCTAGCTAACGCCCTAATAATACCCTTTTTGTATTTTCTCTCTCTCTTTTTCATGCGGTCAATTTGATCAATTCAAGACTCATCATCTTTCGTGTCAATAAACCAAAACACTGTCTTCCAGGCATGCAACATGCGCTCAATTTGGAGCATCTACACATATACATACACACATACATTACATCAGCAGTGTACATACGTGTACGTATGGGATAATGAAATGAACAAAGTACGTATATATATAGTAGGAGGGAGGGGAGTTGGTTTGATATTTTACATTCTCTTATCCCCAGGGCAGGCCCAGGCTAGGGGGATCTCTTACTTCTTCATTCATTAAAATATACGAGAAAACAAGTGTTGTTTGTCTTTATATTGTTTAGTTTAGATCCATCATGACATATAAATTATAATAAGATGATGATATTTCTCCTTCTAATTAATTAGATCCTAAGGCTGACTTTATAAGCTATTTATTTGATTACTGAAATATCAATCTTATCCTTTGGTTGACCAGAAAGAAGCCATATCCTAGAACCCAGGCCTAAAGCCACCCTAGATTGAAAAAAGAAAACTCGAGTACGGCCGTGGCCAGCTGCCCGACCTCTTGTCAATCCCATTGCCACCCCTACACCCTACCACATGGGATTTGAGCTTCAAAAGTTGTTCATTTCCCCAGTTATCTAAAGAAGATTGAATAAATAAAATGTTAATCGTTTTATTAGTCCATGAATTTAGATCAAATTTATATTTGAGTCCTTTAATTTTCAAAATCGTTCTCGTGGTACTTTAACTTCACTTTCGTTAGTTTTTTATTCATAGTTTAATCAATTTTGATACAAAAATATCATTTTGCCCTTGCATTTAACAGAAAAGTTAACAAAATTAACGGCATCACCATTTGTCCTAATAAAATTAAAGTTGAAGGACTAGATGAATAATTTTGGAAATTGAGGAACTCAAATACAAATCGGATTTAAGTTCAAAGACTAATAAAATAATTAACCCAATCAATAAATAAAAAAATACTCATGATGAAAAAGGCGTAAACGTACAAGGAGAGAGCGTATCTACGTACACAGTTGCGTATCCGATTCCTAAGGAAATATGGATTATTAACGGCTACGAAAATCTATCTGTTTTGTTCTTGTATTGCCAGATAGACAGACAGGAACCTTTTACAATTACACAGAGTTTAGGGACACTTTTTACAATTTTACAAAAGAAAATTCTAAAGCATATCCCTTCCTTTTTTTGTTCTTATTATACAGAAATGAAAATTACAAAACAAAACCTTCAGGGCAAGGAAGCCGAAAGATGTCAATGCCCTTCCATTGGAAAATTTGAATAAGTACAATTTAACTGCAATGTTGCATGATAATATTCATGCTGGTGTCTTCGACCAAAAAAAAAAAAAAAAATTCATGCTGGTGTCGTGTTTTTGTGGAAGTTAGTTTGATTAGTATTACAAAATTGGGATTTTTATTTGGCCTGGTGACTGGTCAAATTAACTTGCAAGAGCCAGCAGAGACGCTGAGGTTCTCCGAGTTTTTCAAAAGTCGGCACCGTCTTTGTAAGTTAGGCCGTGGCCATCGTGGCCATCGGTACAGGCTGCGTCTCCATAGACAACTCTACACTAGTGCACATCTAGAGATTAGAATGAGAATCGCTGCTGTGATATGATATGACTATCTCATTATCTTCTTGGGGTGTCTAAGTCTTGTCCTTTCTCACAATCACAGCCGTATATTCTTGGTTGAAAGCCGTATTCCAAATATTACAAAGCAGGGTGGACGGTCCAGATTTCACTAGAGTATATACCCTTTGTCTCCTTTATATACCCTTTGTCTCCTTGCTTAACTTGTCTCTGCAGGTTTGGGTAGATGTTTTATTATTCTCTTGCCTTTGAATGTTACGATCCGGTTGACTTTGGAGCTGTTTGAGTTTGACATAAAGGCCTCAATAGTCCAACAGGAAACACAATAGTAAAGAGAGTTTGGCTTTTGACCACTTCTTCAAGACGAGAGAGAGAGAGAGAGAGAGAGAGAGAGAGAGAGAGTTTTGGCGAATTGGTGGGTACCTCAACCTGCAGACATCCTATTCATACCTAAAGCCATTGGGAAGGAAGGAAGAAAAGCAAATAGAATTTAGAATTATGGGTTTCAGTGGGAATCGGATTAATTACCAAACGTAGCAAAAAATAAATAAAAAAAATCAACCTGTCCGTAAATGTAATGCCTAAACACAGGAAGCATTATTACTATTTCAAATAACTATGGCTCTGTCTGTTCATCCTGTAAGCCGCAGGTAGATTAAAAAAGGTTTAGGGTCCTTTTGTTTGTTCTACACGCTTTAAATTTGGAAATATTTTTACTTACGATTTTAACCTAAGGTGTATTCTCAACACCCTTCTTATAATTTGACACGTGTTATGATTATATATATGAACACGTGTCAAGTATTAAGAATTGTGGTGATGATACACATTAGGTTAAAGTAGTGAGCAAAAATGCTATCTTCAAACTCACCAACCATAATCCCTAAAATGCGTTATCATTCAATTAACCAATAAATGAACTGAAAATGGAATTTAAACCTTGGTTGAATTTCAAATGAATTGCCATGTGCCATGCTGACTATATTTTTTTGGTTTTTGTTGGGGTTGTTGGTTGTTTAGCTGAAAAAAGAAGAGGAAAAAGATGCTAGCTCGTTAAATGCTGCAACCCATTTCAAAGGAGGGGACCAAGCAAGCAGCATCAGATTGAATAAAATCCTTTCATTTACTTGAGTTCAATCATGCGATTCCAACGCCTATGCCAGATTGAATCATAAAAATGGTTGGTCTTGGTCCTTTCTTTCTCACATAAAACACTACTAGACTAGACTACTAGGCTTAGGGTAAAAGAAAAGAAGAAGGTGGTCCAATAAATGCCGGCGTACCTACAATAACAACACTGTCGCATATCGTCAGCTCTATACAATTGTAACATCACAAAGGAAAAATCTACTCATTTTTGTTGTGATTTTTAACCACCTTATTATTCTGAGTTCAATCAAATGTATTCTTAACGCGGTAAGTATTTTGTTTCACCGTCACTTGTGCGAGACATGCAAGCAACAATTGTGTTCTCTATCCTATTGCATATATGAATGATATATGTTCTTACAAAACAGACAAACAACACACAGAAAGGGTGAAAACGTCATTTTGGTATGTAAATACTTTTCTTTGGTTAAATTACAATACACGTGATCTAAATTAATATTTGACTTCAACTTCTTTCAATCAACTTTTATTTTATTTTACGTGTGAAATTAAAAAAATGTAAGGGGGGCGCCCTGCAGTGGCGAGCAAGGTTGAGTGCCCCAAACCAAGACTGAGAAATAATATTATTTTTGACGAGAGAGGACAAATGAATAATATAATTTCATGGTGAGGGCGCTTTCTGATATCATAACGACGTTGGCGTATATTATCAGAAGCAGAATTGAATTTTATGAGAGAGAAAGAGAGAGAGAAAGGTCAAAGCTTGGGAAGCAGTTGGTTGGTTGTAGTATGCTGCTGCTGCCACAGGGGTAATGATTTAGAGAGAAGGTTAAAAAAAAGATCAGAATTTCAGAAGCTCGTGAAGATACGTTTGAAAGAGAGAGAGAGAGAGAGAGAGAGAGAGAGAGAGAGAGAGAGAGAGAGAATTTTCTGTATTCTTTTGTTTTATATTAAAAATTCTATAAATTAATTAATTAATATTGGGTTGACACAGTGCAAGGAAGGAAGGTGTGCAAACAAAGAAATAAACAGAAGGTGCAGGAGGAGGGAGAAGAGTACCCCACTCGTACAAGCAGCAGGCAGCAGGGTGCAGGGAGCAGGGGCAGCTAGTAAAAATAGTAGCAATAGCAAAGAGGTATTATCAGACTCTTTAAGGAATTTACAGACCTTCTCAGCTCGTCTTATCCTTTTCTCGTGATCTCTCTCTCTCATACTGGCCTTAAATTCCTCCTCTTTCTTTGAAATCCCTGCTGTGCCTACAAACCGACACACCTCCAAAGGGTTTGAAACTTTCAACTTTAGAGGAAGAAGAAAAAGGATATATGTTTTCTACAAGTAGAACAATACCAACCCAAGTCTTGGGGGTCTGAAGGTTGCAAGAGTTTTTTTATCAGAGGGGATTTAGACCCAGTGGCTCTGACAGTTTGTTAACAGCAACAAGTAATTAAGGAGAGAACTAGGTTTGGAGGATCCCTATTTGGATTAAGAGGGGGTTTTGAAAGGAAAAACAAATTTTGTTAGGGAGGAAAAATGACTAGTTGTAGTGCAAGGAACGGTGCTGTGAGGCAGTATGTAAGATCAAAGGTGCCTCGTCTGAGATGGACCCCTGAGCTTCATCACTGCTTTCTTCATGCCATTGAGAGGCTCGGAGGCCATAAAAGTGAGTAATATCATAACCATCTTGTCTTAACTTTTGTTTCTTCGTCTTATTTTGAAAATAGAAATGAAACGTTTCTTATATGTTTCTTCTCTCTCTCTCTCTCTCTCTCTCTCTCTCTCTCTCTCTCTCTCTCTCTCTCTCTTTCCCAGAGGCTACACCAAAACTTGTTCTTCAGTTGATGGATGTCAAAGGGCTCACCATTTCTCATGTCAAAAGCCATCTCCAGGTATTGTATTTGCCTTTCTTTCTCTTCTGATGGTTTGTCTAGTCTTTTAACTGCTTCTGTTCTTGTAAGCTATACGTTAAAATGTTCATTTTCTTTCACACTTTTCTTTATCTGTTTGCCTTCTCCTTCTTTTGATCAGATGTACAGAAGCATGAGGAGCGACCTGGGTACTAGACAACAAGGTATTTATCCTACTTCTTCACAGCCCATTATCGAATTTGTTTTATTTTGGCTGATTTCTTGTAAAAGCCTTCATCTTTTTACATTTTCATGTTTGTATTTTATCCTCTACTACTCCTGTCCTGTCGTCTAATATGCAGTTCTGGTAGACTATCCATTTGTTTCCTCTAATGGCCTGTTCTCAGGGCCAGTATAAACACCCGTGATAGTATAAATTTATGAAATGAGGCTCTACGGATGCAGCATCACCTCATTTAATATGTGTAAATCCTTGTAATATTTATTGCTTAGTTGATGCCCCAAATGGGTGATAGAGAAAGTGCACCATTATTCCTTCCGGTCTTCTCGTATTGGCACTTGTCATGAAAGTGAAAATACAAACACCTCTCAGTCCCAAACTCTGCCATAAAATTCTCAAAAAGTCACTTGGGACTTAGTTTGCCTACTGCTTTTTTTTTTTACTTCTCTATTTCTGGCATTCTGTCTGATGATTTTTCTGGTGCTCTAGTGACAGATAGGAGTTGCACGCAACCAAGAAAACAATCGTTTGAAGAGCATGATGATGGGTGTCTTGATGAAGTAAATGGTGTGAGTTTTTACCCATCTTCCAAATCTATCAGAGAATCAGATTCTCAGCTCATCTACAGTGCTCCCCGCCGTTCAAAAAGGTTAGCCTGCACCTACATACATGTACTCTGCAGGCATTCTTTCTTTTTCTTTCTTTCTTTTGTTTTTGGGGGAAGGGGTGGTGGGTGAAGGTGCTCAGATGTTTCAGGCTTCTGATCAAATGTCAACAAAGTAAGTAATAAAGATGGCGAGATCAGAAACAAACAAAAAGGAATGGCATTGCATTGCATGATATCTTTGCTTTTTCTGAACTCTGCTCTCTGGTTCTAGATATATATATATATATATATATATATAATATAATATAGGGTTCTTTTCTTTCATAATATATATATATATATTCTGCTTTTTGTCTGATTTGTCTCCTTCGGTGGATCAGAGCTAGAGCCGAGACGAGGAGTTCAATCTCAGAGGGCCTGCAGCAGCAATGCAGCCAAGGAATATATGAGACGGTCTCAAATCCGTACTCTTTTGATGATAATGTGCTGGCAATGGCTCAACAACAGCATGGGGGAATAAAGGAGCCTAACCCCTCAGCCTTGTCTCTGCCACAACCTCATCTTCATTACAACTTCAACCACCCCTCCTCCCAATTTTCTCTGCAAGAATCTGACTTCTTCAAGGTACCTAACACTTCTCTCTCTCTCTCTCTCCAACTTCTTTAAAAAATTTAAATGTAGAGTTGTTGAGTGTAAAGTTGGTTTTTGCTTTTCAAGTTTCAACCAAATTTTCTTTGCACGAATCCAGACATGTCCTTCTGAGTATGACCAGCGATGGCATGGATGGAATGTCCATTACCTTTTCTTTTGAAGTCAACCTGCGTCACCTCTATTGCCTAAACAGTAGTTCACTACTTTTGCGTAGTGTTCAATAATATATTTTCTGTATTATTTTAAATGGGTAAAACCTCTTCTTTATAATATCCTTCCTTGTTTCTCCTTTTTTTTTTCTCCTCCTGGGTCCTGGCCTTTAGACAAGAGTGGAAAAGTTTCCAAAACTAGCTATATAATTCTTCAATCATATAATGTCACATTGTTTCCTCTCCCGCCATTTGGTTCTTCCCTTCACAATTTTATTAATTAAAGTTCAAATTCATTTTCTAATGACCCGATTTTTTGTTTTCTTCACCCCATAATGATTTCTCCTGCAAAAAGTAGTTGGGTGCATCATTTCATTTTGAAACAGGAGACAGACTGCTTTTGGCTTGCAAGTAATCGTCTACTCTATTTAATTTCAAGGTCTACCTAGCTACTGCTGATTTGTCGTTTACATGAGTTGCATTGTATTTTCTACTTTGTATAGAAAAATTGTTGCAGAGGTCTTTGGTTGTTGCTGAAAACTCTTACATTCTGTGGTCCAATTCTGATTCGTATATAAGTAGGGGACCCCTCCCCCCCCCCCTCCTTCTCTCCCTCCAGACCACCTTATGAGGGTGTGCCCAAACAGCAAATTCAATCAAAATGTTAAATTTTTATTTTTATTTTTTTGGGGTTGTGACAGGTTACCAAACCAGAGGCAAGAGCAGATGCTGATCAAGACAATGAAGACGGTGATTGTCAACTATCACTGTCTCTCTCGTTACATCATCCTTCTTCCCACAAGAGTAAGAGTAATGCTTCTTCAAGTGAGTTCAGTGGTGCCATCTCATCATACTCCCCGAGGTCCAACTATAAAGATTGCTCCACCTCTTCTTCTGGGAACCATCGCAGTATTAACTTAAGTCTTTCCATTGCCCTCTGTGGTAAATGATGTCACTGTAAAAAGGAGTCATCTGTTTTGGCCAAGTAGTAGATTATTTCATGCCCTCACCGCATTTGTTGGTTCTTTCTGTTCTTTGTTCTTTGTTCTTAGTTAATTTATCGTTACTTCTTCTCATCGAGCTACGTAGCTCATTAGTTAAGTGAGTTCCACTTTTGATTCTTCTAGAACAGCAAAGAGTATATCTTTATGAAAGAACTCTTTTAGTTTCAAATTTCTTACAAGATTATCCTTCTTCACGGTAATCTGATGCAACTTCTACGACATAATAAGACCGGCATTTGGAACCTTCATCAAGCCAGAGTTCAGCCAATCTATGTACGACAGAAAAGCCGTAGAGTTATAAACCGTAATTATGTATCTAACTGGTCAAAGAATTCTATTGTGAGCGTGAAGCCCATGCCCATTTGTACGGAGGTAATTGTGGGTTGGACTTGTAGAGCATTATGGGCCGGCTCAACAAGCTACGATACGAACCCACTTTTGGTCGTCGCCATGCTCGCAATGTTGTGGAAATCTTCTGTGTAATCTCAAATCTAATAATGACAATTTCATGGCAAAGTTTAGGAGCGATATATTGGTTCATTGCATTTGCCCGTTTCTTCAGCGCAGACATGCCCAAAACAAGTAGTAGCAGTAAACACTACAGAAAAAAAGAAAAGAAAAACCAACTACAAAACTGGATAGCTGTTGCTGCTGTTGGGGTCCAATTAGTTGGAGCAAATTTTATAGCACATCTAACACCAGCTACAAAGTCAGTCGATACACTCTTCCTTTTCTTGATCTTCCAACGTCTTCCCCAAAAATAAGGTCATGGCAGATGTTATAAGACGCTTTAATCCTTCTTAATTCTTTTTGCCCTTTGTTTTGGTATCAGAAACCAGTGCCTTGATGCATAGTCGTGGCTTCACGCTTACGACGTTTTGAGGAAGAACTGAAACAGCAACCACTAAGGAATCTTTGGGTACACGAGAGAGGGGTAGTAGCTCAATTAGGACAGCAAGCTGTAAATTTACACTAATAGTTAGAACAACCATAAAATGACATGCCAAACTATAATTTGCTTATGAATTTGAGACAAAGAGGAAGGAATTCTCACCTCTGGAGATTTGAGGTCCACCACTGAATCTGATACAACACCTGTGACTGCAGAAGCCACTATTTCAAAGCATTTGTCACGGTCCAACAAAACAACCGCATTTGAAGCTTCTTTGGAAGTATTCAGTTCGGTTTCTACCCCTCTTCTGTTATACCCAACCGCAAACTACAGAATCACGTAAAAATTTCATCTTACGGAAAATAATATAACCCGCATAGAATAATTAAATCCATTTTCTAGGTTGCCCAGAAGAACAGTATCTCATTTGATGAATTACTAACGTTGATGCAGTGATAGAGGATATAACAACCTTTATGGGCCGTGCAAGTTTCTGATTATTGTTCAAAAATTGAAGAACAAGCTTTGATACAACTTCATGCAGTTCCTCCTCATTCAAACTACAAGTAGCTTGGATAGGGAAAATGCGATGACACCAACTGCACCAAAGAACTTCCAATTCTTAGGCAAGCACCAATTTTTGGCTAGAAAGGGAAAAAATGATCGCATGTATTACTGGATCCTTCATAGAAGGATGTCAAAAAATTTAAATTTCATAAATTAATACTGAGTGCAAAACCATTGAAGAGCTGAGGCACAACCTCAAAGTGGGTTATAGGTCAAAAAAGTCTCAAAGTAAAAACAAATAAAAAAAATTATAATGTCAACATTTCAAATGACAGAGAAATACTGGGTAAGTTTAGTTTCTTTTAGTAGGTAAAGCATCGCATAGAAAATACAACATATACGAAGCTTAATACTTGGTAACAACTGGTGAAAACATCTAAGATTCCATTATTTGGAGAAATTATTTCGAAAAAAGACACAGATAAAAGTTTCAAACAAATTAAGCACAACTTGTATTAACTGTTGTTTCTAAGAGAAAATATGATACGTGAGAAACAGGCAAATTATCTACTCACAGGGGTGAACCACAACTCCTAGATTCCACAGAATGCATAATTTTGGATACAGTATCAACAACGTCGGGAGAAGTGTTTTTGGGGAAGGTAAAGAGAAGCAAACCACTCTTTGTAAGCTTAACCAGCGAAAGAAGAGGGCTTGTGTCTCCTTCCGCATCCACCTTCGCAGGAGGCAAAGGAGGACCCTCTTGAACATCATCTGCCATAGCCATTATGATTACAAACAAGTCATATCACAAAACAGAAGCTCAGCATCTAATTGTATACGAAGTAAAAGTAAAAGCGATACCATGCGCGTCCCCAGAGTTAGCAGTAGCCTCCTCGCCATCTGTATTCTCTTTGGAAAGCTTCCTTCTTTTAGAAACGGCTTCTTCTTCTGAACTGCATCTATTAAAGCACTGAACATACTGAAAACATAGACATAGAAACAAATTGTAAACTTAATTCAAATCCACATATAAAGAAAATAATCAATCATGTATTATACTATATATCATCACTTCAAGGCTTAGTGCGAGTTTACCTTTGCAAGGAGGGAGATTGCTTCTTTTGTGGCGCTTTTTTCCCTCTCTGATAAATTGATGATTATAGCAGAAATAAAAAAGAAACTTCATTTCAGAATCAGTGGGTTTGTGGGGTTAAATTAGGGAGATAGAAATTAGAAAGAGAAAGAGAAAGAGAGTGACAGACTAATGGGGCAGGTGATGAGGAAGCCAGAGTGGGAGTGTTGGAGAAGAGAAGAAGGGGCGTTGTAGTCGAAGCGAGGGATGCTGATTACAGTAGAGTGTTGCTCCCATGGTGCCATCTCCTCTTTCTTACTCAGCTCCCTCTCCTTCTCCTTCTCTCTTTCTTCTTCCGCCATTGCCCTTCTTCTGTTCTGACTTCGGAGACCGATACCCAGTCTCTGTTCGAACTAACTTCAACTTTTTATTTTCTCCAGTGTATGTATGTGTGCCCTAATTCCTAATAATTGGACTCTTTTTTATGTTATTGTTACAAAATTTGTTTATTATTTTTCTAACCAATTTCTTTCATGTCTATTAATATTCAGATTTTTTTTTTTTTTTTCATTTCTATAAAATGCAAAGATTGTATCAACATACCGAGAGAATTATTTTAAACTAATTTTGTGCATTTCTGTTTTCTTATTTTCCTCCCTCTTTTTTTTCTTCGCTTTTTTGGAAGAAAAGACGTAACATCTGACTGCTTGTGGAATGTAAAAAACATCTGTGAGACTTTGCATATATATTTTTTGTAATTCAAATGGCAGCTCAATCTGCAAGGCATGGTACAAACAGAAACAGAACAAATTTGAAAGGTTGGGCCTTGCTAATTGAATCCATTAAATCACTGATATTAAGTAAAGCGAGCATAGTGATATTAAAACCTCACACACTCTAATGCTTTTCTGTTAGCTTAACGGTGTGCCACGTTATGTTATCCTGTGAGTCTCTGACTGAGATTGCTAAACAAAATGGTTGATGTAAAATTGCATTGCACCAGCGTTAGCAACAGACTTGATCTTCTATAATTTATCAATTCACTATTTTCCCGCTTTTAAGTTTGAGGGGATGGATCTATTAGTACAAGTGAAAGAGGCTTATACAACAATTTAAACACACGGGATGTGTAGGATTTACTTCTATTTTAACATTTACAATTGGATATAAACTAAAACAAATCCTCACACCAAATCTTGGCTCCGTTTTTGTCTGCATTCTGCACTCATAAATTATGTGATGGGCAAAGGGTGCATTTGCATAGCAAGAAGCTGACCTTTTTTCCTCTTTTCGATGAAAAGCTTTTGAAAGCCCTCAAATAGCCCTTTTCTTTTACACCCGGTCAATTTGCATCTCTTCTTCGAATTCCACGATTGCCCTAGCAGGAAGGTACCAAAACTTGTAACAAACACTCATCACATCTTCATTTGAATTTGCCGATGGATATGTACTAGAAACTCAATATAAGAGAGGCCATTCAAACTCTTGTCTTCTACGATATATGAGAAGAAGAGCATCCCTGCGAAACAAGAACAGAAGATTTAATTCACATCAACCAAAAACATTTATCTAATACCATAATATTTTTACATCAGAATTATTGTTTTGTCATATCCCCTCTGACAACACTGACTGAAAAAATTGAAGCACAACATCTCTGCTTCTCATACTACAGTAAATAAGGGAAAACGATGCGGCTAGCACAAAGAATGATTGACGGTGAGCAACAATTAGGCCAAAAATACTGTAAGTTATACTTGACCTGTTTGTTCATAGCTTACATCAAAGTTTCATAGTATTTACTATCGCAGAATAAAAGAGGGATTTGGGCAAGGGGTGATACATACAAAGGAAAAAGGGGAAATGGTCTCATTAACATGAACAAATAAAAAGGAATAAAGTTTATCAAAGGGGAATTGAATAATGTGGATGCTGTTTTGAATCAAATTTTTATGCATAGTGGCTGTCAAGTAGCAGATGTAGTCTAGTTTATATTAAAGGGATGTTCTAAGTTGTAATGCACTGACCTGATGGATCTCCTTTCTTGCATAATTTCAAGCTGTAAGAAAATAATGAGGATTATATTAGACTTACATAAGATTGACACATCATCGAATTACAAACATTTTTTTTACCATGAGAAACTTTTTTCTTTTGTTAGGCATATAGACCAGAAGGTTGCCCTGGCTAGAACAAGGGTCATCCCAGCTAAAATGAGCGTGATTACCATCTGGGTGGTCCAAGGGGTCTAAAGAAGCTCCAACTAGCTCTTATTCTGGTGGTACTTCTCTTCCCAGTGTTGGAAGAGATACCAAGTTCGAATCTTCCCTTCCCCATTAAAAAGAGAAAAACAGGGTCTAAAGAAGCCAAAATACAAGGTAACAGAAAGAAGCATACCGGAGGTATGAACATCTTTGGCGTCGAATCTCATTTATCAAGTCATTTAGCTTCTTTGAGAATGGATTGTCATGCTGCTGCAGCACAAACTGTGTATGACAAAAATAATAGCCATCAGATGAAAATTCTTCCATCAGGAAGTATATCTGAGAATGCAGTTTGCAATTATACAACTCAATCCTCATGTTTAACAGGCATCACAACCGATGAATGAAATATTTACACCCGGACGAGTATCCATTCTTAATTAGTGGGCCAACTAATTTTATGCCTTTAATTTGTTTCGTATAATATACAACTTAATCCTGTCTTCAAGATTTTAAGCAGATTCCTAATTTGTCAAATTGATAGCAGATGCTAGACGGAATTACATCAGAGGAATGAAGTTTGGGTCGTCAATGAGGTGCTCAACTCCTTGGATCCAAGAGTCAGAGGCAAGTTCTTGCCAGCCATGACTAACAATATTGGGCAGACATTACGTATAGAACGACTTGGCTTAAGATGTACCTGAGTAGGAATTTCATCAACTGAGGAAATTCCAAACAGCTTAGTCAACATATCTGGATCAACTGAGTTCCCAATATATATTAAACAATCCTCTCCGTTCTCAAGAAGATAAATTCCCTCATCACTGATATGCTCACTAGAGAGTGGAATTGCAGGAGGAAAAGGAGATTCATCTGTCTGTCAATCAACAAAAAAGTTACCAGTTTTATATTTTGGGGGGGGAGAAGAGACCATTACAAAGGGGAAAATATGAAACTTTAAGTAATGCGGAACCATTCAGAATTTCAGACCTTAGAAAGAAGGTCATGGATTGCCACCATCCGTGGATACACAAGTGATATTGCTAAAGGAGTAGAAACAGAAGAAACATAATTGATCCAAAAAGACCGTTCATCTAATTTCCCGGCAGCTCGCAATCCTGTGCTTTTAGTTAATGCTGAAAAGAATTATATATTAAAAAAAAGAAACACAGTTATCAAAACATGTACAAACTTCTAGACAAGCTGACTTATACTTCAATTACTGCTAACATGATTAATACAAGAGTCTTGCATAGCATAGTCCATGCATTCGAAATAACAAGATACGTTATAAAACATGAAGGAAATAAATGAAAATCCTAAGTTTATTTCATTTTGGAGGAAGAAAAAAAACCAGTTAGCTTCACAGAAGTGTTAAATAAAAGATGCAGCTTCAACAAAATACATCTAGTATAGTTGTATAGAAGACACCAAGGAAGAATAAAAGAAAATACCAAGGATGTATAAAGGTAGAAGCTTAAGTGTCTCTGGAAGAACAAGTTGTCCAGACGATGATACTGTAGCACAAAATTTCCTATAAGAACACAGAATCCTGATGCAACGATCAGTCAGTCGTTCACGGACTTGCATGAGTGGGCAAGAAGGGATTTCAATTGCCGCTACATAAAGAAAATTACAAAGTAAATTGTATCATTTCCCAGAAATCAAATAATAGCTATACGGCCATGTAAGAGTTTAAAAAGAGGGCAGTTCTGGTACAAGTCAGTTCAAAAAGAAAGAGAGAGATCCATGGTACAAAGGCTGTAAAACAAGATTGTAAAGAAAATGGTACAACCAAATACCTTGCTTCAAGATACAAGCAAACTGTGTATCTAAGTCAGCTGTACGGAAAATATTATTCAGCATACTTGTGCATGGAAGAGATAATGTTGTAACTCGAATTCTTCTTTGGCCATACAAAGTGGTGTACAGAAGTGCACACTGGACAATGGAAAGAACAATGTCATTAGAAGTAACATAACAATCATTTTCTTTAACATTAACTGTGATTATGGGAAGCTTGCTGAGATATACGGACAAGATACTCCTAGAAGGTAAAACCAGTTAGTACCTGAAATGCACATTCTGAGCCATCCTGCAATTTATCATCATGTTTTATGGTTACCATTATAGTTTTGTCACAGTCAATCTGCACAATATAAGGATGAGTTAGGGTTTCGCAAATTACTCGCCACAGGTATTAGCCACAGCTCGTATTCATTACAAAGCTGACAACATAATCTAAAGTACCACTCAAATAAATGAATGAAAACCAAAAACAAACCAGTAATCAAGATGGAATAGTTATGGCAAATATAGAAGAATGAAGTAATTAATTTCATCTCATTGGTTTGTAGTACACAAGAGGTTTTGGGCGTCATTACTAGTCACTACTGTAAAGTTTTGAGAACTCGATAATTGTATTGAATCTCAGAGAGGGTATTTAAAGGCTTTACAACAGTGTAAGAATGGAAAGAATAAATCTATGCCTACACTATAGCTTGTGACAGCAATCATAATATATGCAATTGATACAGGAAATATAAATTGATATGGAAAGTAATCAAGTCAACCGTTGACATTACAATTCTTTAACATTCCCCCGCAAACTCGGCGGTCTTTGATAGACGAGTTTGGAACGAAGGAGATGAAAGCGTTGCTTGAGAAGGCCTTTGGTGAAGAGATCTGCAGTTTGATCAATAGATGGGACAAACTGAACACGATGGCTGCCGGAAAGAACAAGCTCACGAACAAAGTGATAATCCAATTCAATATGTTTGGTGCGAGCATGAAACACCGGATTTGAGGCCATATAGGTAGCACTAAGATTATCACAGTAGAGTGTAATTGGCCTGGAAACTGGTACATGTAGTTCATGAAGCAGATTTGAAATCCAAACTGTCTCTGCACTGACCCCAGCTAGAGAACGGTATTCAGACTCAGCACTAGATCGAGAAACAGTAGGCTGTTTCTTGGCACTCCAAGAAATGAGATTTGGACCGAGGAAAATACAATAACCTGAAGTAGAACGCCTAGTGTCAGGACACCCAGCCCAATCAGCATCAGAGTAGGCATGGAGTGCAAGAGGACTAGAAGAGGATCGAAACTCAAGGCCAAGTTGTAAGGTGCCTTTGAGATAGCGCAAAATGCGCTTAGCAGCAGTAAGGTGAGAAGTGCGAGGGATACTCATGAATTGTGCAACATGTTGAACTGCAAAGGAAATGTCGGGGCGAGTAAGTG